ACCTTAAATAGCATCTTGGTATCATCAGCAAATATGTTGCTGATGATACCAATATATTGACTAACTTGTCTGGTAGATTATTATTATATAGAATAAACATTAAGGGTCTAATTACAGAGCCCTGTGGCATGCCAATAAAAATTTTAAGCCAGTGAAATTTTATTTGGCGTATCAGAACAGTGTGAAAAGCTTTAGCAAAGTCTAGTATTACTGCATCCACAAGTATACCTATAGAGAGATTGTATAATAACAGACCCGGTGGGAGTAAATGAGGGTAAGAGCAGAGAAAAGCTCTAAAATGAACATGGCAAGTCATGTGAGCTGCTCCACTAAACAGCTTTTTAAGAGAGCTTTTAGTTTTTGTGCAAGCACTATATGTTCATTTGAAAATTGCTTTTTTATTTCATATGTTTGTAACTTTAATGCTCCAAGAACGTATCCAGTAATTTTTAGGCAAGTGTTTTCTTTGGGTTTTCACTCTAATTATCCATTTATTTATTAACAACTTTATTCATTCGATGGAAAAATTAATAAACGAAAAGTTAAATAAGTTTTTACTGTTTATAAAAAGTATTTTATTACTGTAATAGAATACAAAAAGTTAAAGAATTATTACAACAAAAAAATTCCACAATAAAAGTGTTAATATAATTACAAAATTTTTTGCAGAATCTTTAATCATGCATTATATTTTTTTTATTTTGCTCAAATTGAGACAAATTTATATAAATTTATATAATTTATTTAAAAATTATAAAAAATATATAAAATATATAATTCATTACATTATATTAATATTATTACACAATAACTTGTTGCATAATAAATTCATAATATATATATACAAGTTTGAGCAAAATAAAAAAAAATTTGTTTACAGTGTAGTTTGCACAAGAATTTTCAATTTTATTAATAGAGAAAAAATAAGTAGTTTATGTTTATGAAAAAAATACTTTTGCAAGAACTGTGAATGGCTCCCCTAAATCACTTTAGGGGAGTGTGGGCAAGAGCGAGAGCTACAGCTCTCACTTCCCGCTGAGGCTTGTATTAATATTATAATAATGTATTTAATTATAATATTATAATTACTGATAATATAATAATGATAATTACTGATAATAATGTAATTACTGATAATTTAATATTGTAATTGCTGATAATATAATAATAAATATACAATAATTTAATAATGCAAATTGAAATCAGTGGGATTTATTTTTTAAATGTAATTGTTCTCTTTTGTACTTATTTATACCATAGCCCTTTAATTCATACATGTATTGCCTCTGTCTACTTCTATTTTGTAAATGATACTTCATATAAATCAGCAAGATTGCTTGATGCTTTTCTAATAGTATATATAGACTTCTTAAAAAGTTATCTAATATTTAAGAAACCATAATTGCCTGAATGTTTACAAAAATGCATATATATTGTATACAAAGATGCATATATATGTAGTATTTTTTTTATATAATAACTTGTTCTTATACACAAAAAAATATTATAGATAATGGTTATAGAAAGTAAATATTAATTATTTTATTGTAAATATTGGTATAAGTACACAAAAATGAATAATTTTACACTAAATAATTTGGTTACTTTATGAATAGTTCTAAATTTTTAGAAATTTTAAAGACATAAACAATTCAACAACATTCTTAGTTGGCGAGTCAATGTTATCAACATTTTAATATGACAGTTTTATAAAAGAAAATAAGCTGAAGTTTTTTCCTGGTTCTGTAAGTTTTTAAATATTTTTAAATTATAAGCAGCTAAAATATAAAAAATATCATAAAACTAATTTGTAATCCATACTAATAATCAAATCTTTATACTTTAGAAAAAAAACTGTAAATACTCCTGTAATAAATGGATTCCTCAAATTTGCCATTTCATCATAATAATTCAAATAGAAGGCAGCATCACCTTTTACAGACAATTCCAAAACCTCTAAATTTTGACAGAGCCATGAGTGATTTTAAAACAATGTTTCCTGAAATAGATTGCGAGGTTATTGAAACAGTTTTAAGAGCAAATGGCGGTGCTGTTCAATGCACTATAGATCAACTACTTGTCTTACAAGAAAGTGCTATCAAACAAACATCCAACTACTCATTTAATTTACCATATCTACCAAGTTATGAGGCTTCAGGAAAAAATTTAAATGAACTACCTCCAGCATACAAAGATATTGGAGAGAAACCAGCATCTGACTTTTCTGTTTACAATTTAAATAAGATCTTTAATGACAGTGCACAAAAATTTTCAGGCAATAAAAAGTCTAGGTGGAATGAGACACTTATTGGCAAACTTCCTGATGATTTTTTATGTTTAAGAACTACTAATTGTTATTCAAATGAAAATTTTAATGCGCCATTAAATTCCAAAGCAAAAGATGTATGTAAAATTAATGATGATTTTATGAGTGAAGATGAATTAGAGAGGTTTTTAGAAGATGAAAAGTTAGCAATGTTTTTGCAAAATGAGGAGTTTATTAGAGAACTTCGAAGAAACAAAGATTTTTTGACATCTTTAGAAGCAGGTGTGTTTCCTTTTTTTTGTTTTTTATTTTAAAAATAAAGATAATGTGTCAGACTTTTCTAGAAGAAACTAACATTTTCTAGAAAGACACTAACAATATTATCATTTAATATATAAATGTAATTTTAAATTACATAAATAAATTGTTTATATAAATTTTATAAATAAAAAATGTTTCAAAAGTTTTCAAAAATTATTAATAAATTTTCTATCTTTCCCAAAAAAAGGAGTTTGTAAATTTTACATTTTTTGTACTTTTTACAAAATAAAAACTGTTGAACAATAAAAGATTATTAGATCAAATTTTAAACCTGAAAATGAATTTCAATTCAGTATAAAATTATAAATTAAGATATTTTACTAACTTGTCATATGCATTGACATTACCGCATTAGTGGTAGCACAAGAGTGTTTTTTTTTTATTGTGAGATAAAAAGCTATAAAAAATTGCATTGAATTGCAAGAAGTTTTTTTCAATAAAAATTGGTTTGCAATAAATTGTTGCTGGCTAATCAAAATCTCAAAAAAATGCATTGCAGTTATCTGCTGGTGGTAACATGTAGTCCAGTCATCGTTGATAGATTTAAAACAAATAATTTAAACCATTTAAAAACCAAATTAAAAATAAATTTTGAAAAAGGAAGTAAAAATAGGGAACATGTTTACAATTTTATCAATATCTTGCATGTTAATGCTTATTATAAATTTAGTTATCCTTTTTAGTTGTATATATGATATATACTCTAGATTTAAAAAATTTATTTTCCTAAAATAAATTTTTTAAACTAGAAAAATATCTAAAATCTAGAGTTTTCTAAAAAAATTTTAGAATTACAGTACTGTAATATCACAATCATAATTAATCATCCTCGACTCATTATTTAAAAATCACTATTAAAATTTACCACACAATTGTATTTCGGAAATACCAGTACTTAACATTACCCTCACATTAAAGGTTGGGGCTGCAAGTGTAGTAAAGTATTTTTGTTCTCAGGCTTCAATTACTGCATTTTTTTTGCAAAACATTCTTGTTTCAGGTAGGCATGATTATACTTAAATTTGGAGTCTTCTTAATGCATGTGAGTGTCATATCTGAAGTATCAAAAGGTCCTGTATTGGTCACTGAATAATAATATGATAGATTTAAACTATTTAGTAAAGTATAACAAATACTTTATCATAATGTTATTTCTTTAATGGTGTTAAGTTTGATTTTTACAAATAAACAAAAGTTTTTTTTATAATGGGTTTTTTACAAGTTACAAAAATTAAGTAAAAACTTATTTTTTGTTACTTATTTTCTTGGTAAACTTAACTTTTTCTACTACTTTTTCTCTACTAAGCTCTTTTTCTCTACTAGCCATGGTAGGGTTAAAGAGCAAGGAAATGAATAACTGTAGACTTTAAAAGTTGTAGTTTGTATGAGTCAGGGACACATGATTATGGGTGAGAGTTTTGAGGCTTCGATGTCGTCGATATGCAAGGAAAAAAAAGTAGATAAATTAAAAATTTTGTAACTCGAAGGGAAAGATACAGTAAAGGGATGCAACTTTGCTGACAAGCAAAGCAACAATGAGTTTTGGTTGATAAAACTAGAGATGATAGCTTATTCAAGCAGCAACCATGATATTATTTGTAGAAAAAAGAAAGCTATGCAACCTTACATGGATGGGAGAATGACTCAAGATTAGCAGACAAAACAGGTCCAACTACATTTACAATGTGCTTTTGGACATTGTCTGAGAGTAAGAGGTTTATTATTCCTCTAAAGGAATGTCAACAATATTGCAATTTTTGTTTGTAGTAAATAACTGAGTTTTATTGAAGTTAAAAACCCCATGCCGCTGCAAACCTCAAGCTTTTACAGAAGAGAGATCAAATTAAAGATCAGCTGCTTGTTCTAAGCGATCAAAAAGACTTTTTGTGGTTAAAAACAGCTGTTTGAAAAACATTGCTCGTGAAAAACATAGAGTAGAATGATTAAAAAAAAGATTATCATGAATTGATTATTTTTTTAGTCAAAATAAATTATATAAATAAATTTAATAAAAAATTTAACATTTTGAGTTGTATTTACATAAATGAGGTTTTGTATTTTTAAAAGTTGTTTACAATGGTATTAAAGTCATTAATTATGTCATTTAACATGAGTTTGTAACTTGCAAGTATAACAATTTCAATGGCCACATACTGATGATTTTTCTAAACTTGTTGCAAAAATAATAATGAAAGTAACAGTTCCTACAATAAACTCATGTTAAAAATAAATAACAAAAGAAGTGTTAAAAAATCTTTATCATAATCAATTGTTGGAACTCCTTAAACTCTGTAGTACCATTAATAATATGCTTTCAGTTGTCAGATGCCTTTAAGGAGTTTCAACTCTACCATTCATTATAAATAATATTTTTGAACGCTGAAAGTGTAATACCATTGGTAATATGCTGGTAATCTCGTTCTTTTTTTTTTTTAATCTTAGAATGTTATTTTGTTAACTATTTCAAACTAGTTGTGATTCAATCACAGTCTTATAATCACACAAGTAAATCATTGTTTTAAACTAGAAATTTTTTAACTTTTGTTTCATTTGCATTGTAAGTCTGTATTAAACATATAATGTAGATTTTCCATGAAACTATTAGTGTCTTCCCAAATAAAGAATCGACTCATTTTACATTGTAAAACTCATCTAGTTATTTTTTGGAATTATTTAACTTTTGCAATAGGGTAGGGTGGGGTAATATGGATATATTCAATAAGTATGTATGGAGTAAGTTATCTATACATAATGCTAAAACCTAAAATTATCAACAATTTACAAACATAATTAGCTTCTTTTTTTTTTTTTTTTTTAATGTTTAATTTTTTAAATTTATGTTTATATTTGATTTACATAGTTAAATAATTAAAATGTAAAGAATTTATTATTTAAAGAAAAATAAATATTAAAAAACATCACATTTTAATACTTTTGTCTATAGACTTCAGTAATATTACTTATGCAAGTATAATAATGTAAATTTATTAGTTGGACCATGATATAACAATATGTAAAATTTAATTTATAAGTTCTTTAACTCATATTGATATATAAACAAAAAACTAAAATGGGGTAAAATGGATATATATAAAAAATATATAAAATCCTGCGAATTTTATAGAATTTTATTACAAAATCATAACCTACATGGCATTTATATATTTATATTCACTTTTGCTTTTTAATATAGTACTATACATTTTTCAGTTATATATAATAGTTTTATATTATGCTACTGAACTATTTACATTAAGATCATAATTCAAATTTGTTTTCCCTGAAGTAAAACTTTAACTCTCATCTAAATGTTTTATATTTTATTTTTTCCTCTTTCTTTTATAAACTTTATATTTTATTTTTTCCTCTTTCTTTTATAAACTTTATATTTTATTTTTTCCTCTTTCTTTTATAAACTTTATATTTTATTTTTTCCTCTTTCTTTTATAAACTTTATATTTTATTTTTTCCTTTTTCTTTTATAAACTTTATATTTTATTTTTTCCTCTTTCTTTTATAAACTTTATATTTTATTTTTTCCTCTTTCTTTTATAAACTTTATATTTTATTTTTGTGCTCCTCTTTCTTTTATAAACTTTATATTTTATATAGTTAAAGTTTATTTTGTAGTAATTTAGATAAAATAATAAGACTGAAATAAGTTACCATGATTGAAATAAGTTATCTTGTGAATATCAACGCAAGACTATTGGTACATACGATCACAGAAAATTAATGACTGATATACAGCTTGTTAAGGAAGGGGAGTCAGTATATAATGTATCAAAGTCTTCTGGAATTCCTTATGGGACATTATACAGACAATCTCATGATCAAATCCAAAAGATATTGTGATCACATTATGATCCAAAAGACAAATGATAAAAGAATTGGAAGTGTTCATGACTTTGTTTTACTGTAATACTGAAGAAAAACCTTTAGTAGAACCCCTGTTATACTTTACTATCAAGCTCATGGTTAAATCCTATATAACATTTACTGACATAAAAACTCCATTCAAAGATGACAAGACAGGGAAATAATGGCACATGTCTTTTGAAAAAAGATAAAATGTAGTTCTTGGAAAGAAAAAAACCTGACCTTTTGAAAAAAGCAAGGGCTAATGATCTTTCTTTGAAAATATTGACAGATTTTTTTGAGTTATATAATAAAAAAACTAAATAATAATAATTTATTTAATAGACCATATTGCGTATTTAATTTAGATGAAACAGGTTTACATGCAGATCCTACAACAGAAAAAATCTTTGTTCAGAAAACATCAAAAACAGCCTATACATTAATGTATACTGTACTGTTTTGTGGGGCAGGAAATGGCCAGTTTCTACCTCCCTTTGTTTTTCTACAAAGCCATCCACCTTTATGATGCATGGTGTCAAAAGGACCATAAAATGCAATGTGTGTAACAATGTCATAAAATGTAATGGTGTAACAAAATCAGGTTGAATGGAGGACTATGTTTTTGAAAGTTGGATGGCAAGGTTATTATACATGTAAAGGATTATGAAAAGCCTGTATTGTTGCTGTGTGATGGAAACAATAGCAATATAACATTCTTCTGTTAAAAAGGCTCTGGACAATCATATAATTTTACTTTGCTTACCTCCGAACACAAGTCATGCATTACAACCTCTTGATGTTAGTTTTTTTGCTCCATAGAAATCCCACTGGAAGAAAATCCTTAAAAATTGGTAAAGAGAAAGCAGACATAAATGTTTACAAGTCTGTATTTTCAACTTTACTAAAGCCTCCTGTCAGTAAGATAGAGGCTTTACTAAAGAGTCAGTAAGATAGAGGTCTTGTCAGTAAGATAGAGGCTTTACTAAAGAGTCAGTAAGATAGAGGTCTTGTCAGTAAGATAGAGGCTTTACTAAAGCCTCTTGTCAGTAAGATAGCAAATTCTAAAAAAGTGGTTTTAATAGTAGTGATCTTTACCCTTCATAATTTGTTGACAAATCAAAACCTATGAAGAAGATAGTAAATATGCAACCAAAGTACAAGGAAGTAGATGAGTCTAACAAAAAAGGAAATTATATTGTAAAAAACCTGCAGAGACCAATTTATTCTGTACATCTAGCCCAAGTCAACCTACACTAACAGTACTTGTGAATTAAAAAAAAGTTCAGAGCACATGTCCAGGCAAAAAGGGCAAAATTTTAACAGCACAAGATATTGTGGCAAGATTGCAAGAAAAAGAGAAGAATAAAGCTGAAAAGAAGACTATCAGTAAGAAAAGGAAAACTGCTAGACTTTACCAAGACATAAAAAGCAATAAGTGTGATATATTTATCAAATATAGTACAAGTATCCGTATTACCCCACTAATGGGGTAATATGTAAGGTGATGTTAAAAAGGGTTTATAATTTTATCATTGAAAATATATTTATGTTCTAGTCATTGTGAAGTCATTGTATACACCTGAATATAATGAAAAATAACTAAAGCTTTTATGGTGATTATTAACTAAAAAAAAGTTATATAAAAAAAATTATATTTAAAATTCTATCCATATTACCCCATCCCGCCATATTCTCCTAATTGTAAACAGTGTTCAATTAAGTTGTCTACACCAATAGCTGATTCACATCCATGAGAAAGTCTTTGTCCAGTAAGAAGAAAATAACTACTGCATATATTTTTAGATACTTTTGGTTCAGTAAATTTTGGAATGGTGACATCTAAACATAGATCTCAAGAACACTTTTTGTTAACCCAATTTTTGTCGGCCCAACATTTTAGAATTAAATTTTTATGTCATAAATTTACACACATTTATGCATAAAAAGTAGTAAGCATGCAGGCACAATAAAAATTAAAAGTATAGAATCAAATTTAAACAAAGTTTTGCTCTTTTCTTCAAAGAGTATTTATAACTTTTCTTCAAACAGTATTTATAACTTTTCTTCAAACAGTATTTATAACTTTTCTTCAAACAGTATTTTTTATAACTTTTAAAATGTTATAGTCTACTTTTTATAACTTAACAAATAATTATAAGATGATATTTTAATATTCAAATTTGAAATAAAATAACTCAAACATACTTTCCAGTTTAGCTAACTAAGATCAATTTACTTAAATCACAGAAAATTAAAAGTTTTAATTATACTAATATGTTTTATATTTATATTAATATCTAAAATATTTAAAATATGTTTATTATATAAAACCAATCATTGTAATTGCTGCTTCCAGTTTCATTTTCAGCAGGTTTAAAGAAACATGCATACATACACCAAAAATTACATACATAATGCATACACCAAAAATTTAAATATTTTCTTACATAACATTGGTACATAATATGTCTATGTTATGTAAAAACTTTAAAATTGCTCAAACTAATTTACAAATATACTATTATATCAGGGCTCAAATTAACCCAAAAAAATCTAATTGTAAAAAATTTCAAAATTTCAAAATTCGATCCCTTTCCCTTGCAGTAAGGTGAGTAACATTTGTACAAATTTATATCTTTTGTTCTTTATTTTGTAATTGCTGTTTTTTTAACAAAATATCTCTCATATTTACATAATATCATTATATTCTTGTTTGGCAGGAGTTTAAAATAGTTAAAGCTAAAATTCACAGCTCAAGTTATGGTTTAAAGCATAAGATGCTGATATAATGTAATGTGCAAGAAACATATTTATTACCATAACAATATTAATTTTAGTAAATGTTTTTCCTTAACACGATACTTAAAAAAGTTAAAATGCAAATATTACAATACTTAAGCCACTTTGAATAGTTGTAAAAAACTATTTAAATTAGAATTGATGAAAACATTATTGTCATAAAAGATTAAACTTTTTGCGAAAAACATTTATTTAAAGGGATCCCAAACTCCCAATACATGTTGTGTTCATATTAAAGATAATGTTAAAAAAAAAGGTTTGAACCAAATTTTTTTGATTAAAAATAAATATGCATACAGAGAAAAACTAATGTTGTTGTTTTAGCCGAAGCTCGCCTTCTCCATTTTATTCAATAACTTGGAGTCTATAAATTATACATCACATTCTACAGACTTCTGCAATTCCTTCAAAGCGCGTTTAATTCATAAAAGTTTTAGTATTTGACGTCACAGTAGACTTTTAACAAATGAAACTCTGGAAATATTTTTTTTATTTTCATTTAAAATTTTTTTGATTAATTTTTTATTTTTTTCTATTTTTAACATTTAAAAAGATATTAAAAAACTCAAATATTTTATGCTGGTTCTTTGCTATAAATTGTTATTGTGCCATATATTTAATGTTTATAAATTATGATTATTCTTGATTGAGTTAATAAATTGTATTTATTAACTCAATCAAGACTGATAAAAAATTCTTGTATATTAATTACTCGTATAAAATTAGTAACAGCATTTTTGTTTGGTTAGACAATATTTTGTCTCAATTTACTTTGCATGAAGTTCCGGAAGTCAAACGAAAAAAAATCAGTTTGAATTATCACGTCAAAATATATTTAAAACAAATTATTATAATGTTCTAAAGTTTTTTATAACAAATGTAGGTAAAATATAAATAACTAAATAAAAAGTTCAACATTAAACATTTTTTTATTATATTGCAACTGTTTATATTGAAATATTAATGTGAACTAAATTTACTTATTATTTAGAACGACTAAGCAATAAAAATAAAAAGCCCCTAAAATTATGCAATATTGTGTTGTTTATTTGATTCTATTGTTGTTTATATTGATTATTTTCATTAATATCAAAATAGTCCCAGATTAATCTGTTAGTTGCTTTGCTCATTGTTGATTTATTTCTAATTTAATTTTATCTCTAAGTTTAATTTTATGTAAAGAAAAAAACGTTTTTATTTGCGCGCTCTTTTTTTAAAAGTTGTATAAAATGGGCGAAAATATACATACTTCATGTTTTTAACTTGATGGTTACAAAATATTGAACAGTAGACTTAAAATCAAAATTTATAATACCGACTTGTGTTGCTATTAATTGTACTTTTAATACAAAACCAGAATCTCACATATCCTTTCACGAATTTTCATATCTGATACTGCTGTCAATGGTATTATATAGTGTATTCTTGTACTTTTTTTATATAACCTTAACAGGTTATGAAAAAAACCTTAATTTGTATGGACCTTGACCTTAACCTTAATTTGTATGGAGTTGCTGACATTTTAAAAGTTTCATCTAAAATCAAATGTAAAATAAAATGATATTTCCTTTTTATCCGTATCCAATTCAGCAAATTTAGCAATTTAAATTAAATAAGCGTAATCAAAAATTTTTATAATAAAAAAAGTTAACAATTTATCAAATATCTCTAATTAATACTGTCAGTTTATGAAAGTAATTGTTAATAAATACTTTTTTTTGACGGGAAAACAAAAAATGTTATAGTGTAAAAATAACCAGAGAAGTTAGAAAATAGTTCCCATTGTTTAAATGAAAATAAGTAAGATTATAAAATACTGCGCTCTCTTGCACAAAAACAAGAAACCGTATATAAAACGTTCTACATAATGTAAAATTCTCGTATGAAAATTATAAGATTGGTAAGTAAAGCTTTAATATTTGTTTTAATTTAAAAACAAAAGAAATATAAGTAAGGTATATAAATCTAAAAATTATTAAGATATCTGTAAAAAATAATTTTTTGCTCCTATAAAATAAAAATAGTTTATTGTTTTTACTTTTTACAAAAATTTTTTTGCAATGTTCGGAAAAATAATACAAATAAATTTGTTTTACTGTATGTTAAAAAAATACATACAAAAGTACACGTACTTTTTGAATTAAAGTAGAAAAACGCAGCTTTGTTTAATTACCCTTTTTATTTGTTAAAAGTCTACCTTGACGTCTAATACTAAAACTTTTATGATTTAAACGTGATATTGGTATAAATAACATGAAAATATTTTGGTTGCGTGTCATTTTATTACCATTGTTGTTTATTATTATCATTTTTTAATTGTAATTATTCAATTCTTCACCTTTGAGTAGCCAGTTAGTAATTTTCTTTGTTACTTTGCCATTGCTACTTTGGTAATTGGCCAATTTTGTCTAATTATTTAGCAAATTGTCTTCTCTTCAAACAACAATAACCTTTGAACTATATGAAGCTAAAACTTTTTTATGACTTTTTTGTTGCTACCTTTGGTAAAATTTATCTTGTATTTGTTATGGAAGTGCCATTGTATTGATTTTTTTTAAATCATTGGGTATAATCTTCTTAAAATAAGCTCATTTGGACATTCAGCAACAGTTTTGTTTTTTTAATAAGGATTAGGGTATGCTGTCATAAAATCTGATACATTAAGTATTTAAAAAAATATATTTTTGTTTTAAAAGGTTAGTTTTTATCATTTAGAAAACATAATTTTTATCTTTAATAAATTTTGATTTATTGAAATTTTTATTACTGTTATATTTTAAACACCTATATACCTACTTGAAAAATATCAGTATCCTGGTATTTGGAAATAAATAGTAAATAAAGCATTAGAACAACAAAAATTTGAAAAGTAAGTTTTATTAACTTTGAAATGAATTAATGACTTCGCTTTGTTTTAATTTTTTTTTAAATTAAAAAATAAATGGAAAAAAAAAAAATTTTTTTTTTAAATAAAACTTTTCTGACTTTACAAAGTCATTTTACAAAGTTTATCTAAAGAAATTTTAATCTGAAAAATTCTGAATATCTAATAATAAGTGCAAATTAATTTTTTTTCAAATCTAATTTTGAAAATATATTTTAGATAATAAAATAGCAGTTGGGGATACCAATACAGTCATCAGTTCGCCAACAGTGACAAGTGGTGGAGCAAGGTCAAGAACAATATACGATGATGCTGTGTTTAGACAGAAACTTAAACACATGGGAAAATGTATTTTTTTTATTTTTACTTATATAAATAATGATAAAATTTTCACTAAAATAATCAAAACGTAACTTGTTTATACAAGTAAATTAAAGTATACTACTTTTACATTCCTACTTATGCATTCCTAAATACATGACTAAGGTTGTTTCACTGTTTTATGAAATAGCTTTAAATCATATTTAAAGATGTAGATGTTTAGTTTATTAATTTTTATATTTTGGCAGAAAAATGTCAAAATTAATGTCAAAATGTTACCTGATTTTGGATACCTGACCTAAATCAGTTTTGGCTACCCAACTCAGGTAAAAATAGTTATAGTGTTTTTTTAAAATGGTTCAGAGGTATTTATCTAATCAGCTGTAGCCATTCATTGTAGACAATTTTAAACTACTGTTAACATGCAACCCAGTACAACCTGTTTCATGCCCTGCTGCCTTATATTAGTGAATGATATACCTTGTATAACCTATCATTCACTAATATTTGTGGTCTTCAAAGTAACTTTTCTTCTGTTAAGTCTTATCTCAAGTTCACCAGACCTACTTGTTTTTTGTGAGAATAATTTGAGTTCAGCTGTCTCATCTTTGATCTAAGTGGTGATCACTATTAGGGTTAATCACTAAGGATTATCTTCTTTTAATTCATAAATACTCCAATTGTCACATGCTTGGCATGGGCATTTACATTCACCGATTAGTCGGGAAACTAAGTTTGAATCCTCAGACTATTCTTTTATGTGCTTTCCTTTAACACCACTTCACTCTATCACTTTTATTTTTGTTCTATATTGCTCTCCTTCATTTCAAGACTGCACTCTTTTTGATGTTAATTCTAATCAAATTGACTAAGTCCTCTCTCTTTAACTCTCAGCTAATATTGTTGTTGTTGGTAAGTTTAATACTCATGACACTTAGTGGCTTGGCTTTAGTGTCAGTGACTCTGCAAGCATTTTGCCTTTCTTAATCTCTAAGTGAGTTGGAAAGTTGACTAAAATAGTCAACTTTCCAACTTGCTTTCCAGACATTCCAAATTATTTATCTTCTCTACTCTCTTATGTCTTGTTTTTGATCCTAGTCAGTGCCCAGTTTCTATACATACGCCCTTAAGTGTTTCTGATCACAGTTTGATCTCTCTAAAACTATTATTTCATACTTCTTCATCATCAGAATTCCCCTATCATCGTACCTCTTTCAACTACCTTAAAGTTGACTTAAATTTTCTTTGTGATATCTCTTGGATGGAAATCTTTCGTCTTCCTGCTGATAAATGTGCTTTTTACATAACTTTTTGGATTCAGGATGGCATGGAGTCTTTAATTCCTTTTCAACTATTTCAAGTCAAGCCTCACTCTTCTCCATGGTTTTCTTCACATTGTACTGCTGCAATTTGAGACATCTGTTAACTATTGTTAGAAACCATTGTAAAAACGTTTTGTCTAACGCCAAAGCCCGCTATTCTCAGGTCATGAAATCTTATACTACCTCTCAAAAGTTTGGCTCTTGTGACTTCTGGCAAATCTTTAATATCATCCTTTGATTCCACTAGTTGCGTTCTACATGATATAGCTGACAAACAGGTTGATCAATTGCTTGACATTTGTATCACTCCAGCTTCTGTATCTGCCTAGACTCTTCTACAGCCTGTGGTCCAAACAATATACCTGTTATAGTCTTATTTTTATCAATACTTTCAAAACTATTTAACAAGTGCTTATCAGAATCTTGTTTTCTAGCCTGCTGGAAAGCGGCATCTGTTATTCCTATTTTCAAAAACTCTGTAGAGCGATCTGACTCATTTAACTACTGTCCCATTAGTCTTCTTCCTATCATAAGCAAGGTTTTTGAGTCTTTAATTAACAAACATTTAATCTCTCATTTTGAATCTAATAACTTACTTTCTGATCATTAGCTTTCTTCTTACGGTGTATCAGGTAACATCTTCAAGATTATTGAATCCTTCCTTACCAATTTTAATATAAAAGTTGTCCTTGATGTATAGAACTCTTCTTCATATCCTGTAACTTCAGGGGTTCATTAAGGTTCTATCTTTGTCCCGATACTTTTTTAAATTTACATTAACAATCTTCCAGAAATTCTCTTATCTTAAGTCGCTGATGATACTACCATTTATTCTTGTCTTGATAAGAGGCCAACACTCTGATGCTTGGAGGGGGAGTTTGAGCTTGAAAAGGATCTCACTTTTGCTACAGCATGGGTCTCTCTGGTTGTTGAACTTTAACTCAGATAGAACTCATTATCTACCCTTCATCTTCTAGGATTACTTCTGATCTTTCTTGGAAACAAAAAATTATAAACTTTATCAAATCCATTGCAAAGTTAGCATCTTGCAGCCAACTTTCAACCATTATCACACTGTCTTAATGTTGCATCTCTTTCTCTTTTCTATAAATACTATAATGGACACTGCTCTAAATAGCTTGTGTCTCTATTGCCATCTACTTAAATTCATTCTTGTGTTACTCGTCATTCAATTAAATGTCATCATTCTATTGTCACTGTTCCTAAGTGCTCCAAAAATTCTTATTCATTTAATTTTTTTCCTCGAACATTAGATCTTAGGAATTTGCGTCCTTTATCTTGTTTTCCTGATTCATATAATTTGCAATCATTTGAGTCCAAATTTCTTAGAGATTCTAAGAAATTTGGCTAGTTAAAATCTCTATTTAGATTTAAGAAACCTCCATTAATAAACACTGAGTTTATTATAAAGGTTCATTTTCCTTTGCTAAAGAAATAAATTAAGTTAATCTCCATATTATATATATCCAAACATTACATATGATATATAAGCTGGTATGAACATAAAAGCTGGTATGAGTAAATAAGCTGGTTACATATGATGTATACACCAATTACACCAATGTTCCGTTTTAAGAAACCATTGAAATCACAGATAATTCAATTTTGCTTCAAAATAAAAACATCAAAATTAATAAAATTAAACAAAAATATTTCAATTCGCCACTTCGCAAACACATTTTTTTTAAAGGACAAATTTATGATCAAATTGATGGTATAACAATTATTTCTCTACTAGCACTTTTTCTTGCCAATTCATTGGTCAGTTTGAAAATAAATAGATTAAAAATTTCTATAGTATAAAACCAGTTTTCTATAAATGATATGTTGATGACATTATGCTGCTTTCCAGTCAGAAAATGACGCACATCTTTTCTTAGGTATATAATAGTAGACATAATTCTTTTTCTTTTAGTATGGAACAAGAACTAACTTCAAAAATAGCCTTCTTAAACGTAACTCTACACAAATCTAATTCTTCAGTTACCGCTACTGACTTTCATAAAAAAACACCCATCTTCGTTAATTTTAAAAATATTCAACTCCTATTTAAACAAGATTAACACAAATGCTCCACCACAACCAAAAATTAAAGAATCCTTGTCTTATTTTTAACTACCGTTGGAGGTGAAAATATCTGATATTAATATTTATATCTATTGTATTATAAGTATATTTATATCTATTAATATTAAATTTTTTTTTAGGTATTAGTGTCTACATTATTAATTCTTGATGTTATAATACAGAAGTATAAATTTGTGATTAAAAATAAATTCATAATATTTATGTTTTTAATTGTAAAAATATTGACAGTTAAAACTTTCTTAAATCTGAAGTTTTACAATAATAACTAATTATGTATAATAATTACAATAATAACTAATTAAACAAATAATTATGTAAGAAGCTTTTTAAATTAAAATAACAATATTTACATGCAAATCCTATTTTTTTTTTACACTATAAAATATTAGTTAAACAAAAAGTTAACTACATAGATGAAGCAATTGGCATCTTGAAAAAAAAAAGACTGGGTACTGAGGAACTTTTTCCCAGAAAAAAAACTAGAGTTCTCAGATTCAATTTGGGTGATTGGCACACCTCAAAGAAGATTGGCACACCTCAAAGAAGATTGGCACACCTCAAAGAAGATTGGCACACCTCAAAGAAGATTGGCACACCTCAAAGAAGATTGGCACACCTCAAAGAAGATTGGCACACCTCAAAGAAGATTGGCACACCTCAAAGAAGATTGGCACACCTCAAAGAAGAAATATACACTTTTTAAAAATAGAAGTTAAATATAGAAAAATATTGCAAATAAATAAGAAATCTTTTTTTTTTTACTTTTTTACAAAGTAATTTATTTAATTTAATTGGCTGAACAATTAACAAAGACCATAAGTATATATATACAATTAACAAAGAAATAAGTATATTTATAGAGAGAGAGAAAAAAAGAAATAAGTAAAAATAAATAAAGAAATAATACTTAAAGTTTTCTTTTGTCTATTCAGCAACAAAAAAACAATTCAGTAAAATGGCTAAAAAGTTTTCAAGAGGAAAAACAGAGGTTGGTGGATTGTATCTTTTTCATAGGTTAAAATATTGATTAAGCTTATACTACTACTTATTGACATGACAATTCAAATGAAAAAAAAAAAAATGACCAATATTATATATCAGTAAATATCAGTCAATTTACACATTAATGCACCTTTAAAACTTTAAAAAATATAAATAATAGATAAATAAATTTATTAAAAAACAATGATTGGTAAAACACATAAAACTAGTTTGAAATAAATTTAAAAAAAAACAAAACATAAATACAAGAGGAGTTGAGTCCCTGCCCTTCCTGGCCATGTCTTAAAAATTTGAAATCTTAGCTGATATTTTAAGTCTTCAGTTAACCATTTTTTTCACTTAAAATCTTACCTTTGTAAGGGTTAAAGTGAAAAAATTTTGGCTTTTTTACCACGTGAAACCATTACTAAGGTTCAAGAAACTAGTTTACACATTAGATGTGTAGTTTGTGATCAAGGATCTACTAATATAGCTGCCTTATGTTTGCTTGGCTTTTCCAAAAATTTACCATACTTTCCTAATCCTTCCAATGATAAAATAATTCATGCTTTTTTTGATCCTCTGCATTTAGTAAAAAGTAATCAGAAACAATTTACGAAGCTGCCTATAGAAACGCATTATTACTTTTATCTGTAGAAAAAAGCAAATCCAATAGGAACTGTATAAAGGAATAAAATTTTGAGACAGATTTCAATCTAAATGACTTTATCAAGTGTTATAATCAAACAACCACTAATTGTGGAATTTATGAAACAGAAAATAATATACCTAAAGGAAAATCTTATTTTCGTCCAGTATCATTTTATATGTTTACTGGAAAAATTTTAATGCAACCAAAGGATCAAGCCCTTTTACCCATGGCTCGATGGCTTATTCAAAAAGTGAAGTTATGTCATAGGTGTACAGATGTACTCTTTCTTAGTTCAGCTGACACTCCATCAGCTTTTATGCCACTAGTTTGTGAAATGGAAACAACTTATATGAAATTTATTGATAAATATATTGAAAAAGATGGACTGGCCATGATTCTCATCAATAAAATTAAAAAAAAAATGTCATTTTCAGTTTTTTCACAATCAACATGAAGAACATGCACTTTATTAGGAAAAAAAATATTGTTCTGTTTTTTGCTATTTAAAGAATTTTTTATTTCATAAAATTTTAAAACAGGAACATAAACCCACCCAATAAGTTAAATTGCAATTTCAAAAAATATTGTACGTGTTATATTATGATATTATTTTTTCAATTTAATTCTTTATAATGAGACTTTGTTATGTTATAATGTATAATATTAATAACTTTTATTAATGTATAATGTTAATAACTTTTATGTATAATAAAATACTTTTATTTTCTAAAAAATTTATACAAACTTTATGTTCTACAAAACTTTTTTTGTTCTACAAAACGTTTTTTCCCTATTTCATTTTTATTGAAATTATATGAAATTTTATTGAAATTATACATTCTAATGGTAATTTTAACAAAAATGATGTATCTTAATGATACAAAATTGATATATCTTAAATACGAAATTGAGAAATTTAGCAGCAAAGTTTATTATTTAAAAAAAAAACACTATTTGTGTTAATTGCGGAAGAGGTCCCGCAGGACATCCCAGAATGCTGTTTTGATCAATTAACACATACGCTTATGTGTATGTGATTTTTTGATCAAAAATCACATACGCTCTTTCTAGGCAGTAATGGTGCGTTCCAAAGAATTAGCAACTGCACAACGGGCTCAGATTCATGTTCTGAGCTAGTAGAACATGCCCCAACGAAAAATTGCACAAATTCTCAATTTGTCCCATTCATCACTTTTCAAGACACTGATGAGGGCAGCTGAATTGGGAAATCACAATTCTCGGGAATGCTCCAGTAGAGCTCAAGTGGTGTCAGCAGCAACTGATAGGCTTATCCTAAAAACTGCGATTGTTCATCCAAACATGTATTTGGTCAACATTGCTGTCTAAATACCTACTGGAGTAAGCACCCAGTTGAATTTAAGCTGCCCTCTTATAAACCAGCAAAAAAAAGCTATTCAAAGAAGATTGTCAAAGATTGCTTAAAGTTTTGCTAGCTGTACAGGACTGGCACAGGTGGTATTAAGTTTGTCAAAGAGTATGACCATTAATGTGCAAGTTAACCTGGATGTTTTGAGAGAAAAGCTTCCCCCATATATGGCAATACACTCCTGCACCCATTTTCAGCATGATGGTGTATTTTCAGCTTGATGGATCCCATCCTTCTCCAACCAGCTTCTGACAGCAGCTGTCAGATACTGATTGGAGAAGAAAGGGATCAAGTTGCTTGGTCCATGATCTTGGTCAAGTCCAGACATAAACCAAATTAAAAACATGTAGACAATGATGAAGCAGAAGGTTAGTCAAGAACATCCAACGTCAGAGAAAACGTTAATAGACACCATTAAGCATTTATGGGCTACCACACCTGAGTACTGCAAATCTTTAGCCTGTTCCATGCTTAATAGAATAGCAGCTGTTCTGAAGGTCAAGGGACAGTATACTGAATCACGAGGCTGTAATTGTTGTTGTTTTTAATAAATAGTATAAAATGTTTGGTACATGTTTTTGTGTCATTATAAGTGAACTTTTTTTTTTTTATTACAATATAAAATGGAATTCTGATTTAAATAATTTAAATAATGAGCTGGGTCCAAACATTTAGCCACAACTGTATGTCAAGATCTATATAACTATAATAACTTTATGTTCTTTTTTTTTTAAAAAAAAATGATTTCAAAGCAAAAAAAAATAGTTTTGTAACTTTTTTTTATCTCTATGCAAAACTAACTCTTTTAAATACTAAATTTGGTATCTAACAACTGTTTTTTTAATTTTAGTTTCATTTAAGTTTTATTGATAGCTATCATTAAAAAAACGCAAATATGATTTTTGAATTTATTTAACTTTCTCTAATTTTTTTTTTAGTACTTTGTTGTATGAACCCTTTGTTGCATCACCGCTTTGTTGCTTCTAAATGTTTTGTTTACAAGATTTTTGCCTTGTTTACAAGGTGTCAATATGGCGTTAATACCAATTTAATTCTATGTTTCACTAAGAACATCATAAAATTCTTTTTTGCTTGTTTATTTTGAAAAAGGTATTATTGCTATCAAAATTGCCCATATGTTTTTGATGGGTTTAGTATCTGGGATTTCTGGCAATCATATATGGATGTTTACTTTTTTTAAAGAACTGTTGTGCTTGTGTGTTTTGGGTAATAGTCTTGTTTTTTGTTATTTATGCCAAACATAAGTCAGTAAATAGCAGAGTTAACTTTTCTTGCTTAAAGTTTGCTGAGCTTTTTTTTTTTTTTAAATGTTTTGAATATCATTTTTTTTTAATTTTGCGTAAGTAAAAACTAATAACAACTTAAGAATTTTAAAGTGGGTTACACAAAGTTTGTGAATACGACTTTGTATAACTTTGAAGTTAAGCAAAACTTATGCTTAGTTTTCACTAATTTTTGACTACAAAAGTGTTGCAAATCTGCACCCATATTCTGATAAGGCTTTCCATAAGATCTTTCCAGTTATAATTTATTTTCGTATCTCTTACTTTTTATTAGCTTCCAAATGTTGTGATGGGGTTGAGATCAGGTCAGTTGTCTGGCCATGGTAATACATTAATTTGTTTCTGTGTTAAACAAATCACAAAATTCATCATCTTGTATAAATAGAAAATTCTCAACATTTTTTTGTCCAATATACCATTTGGAGAAACAACTAATTCTTTGGGGCTTCTTTATACTGGTCAATGTCACAGTAATTTTAAGTTCACTCCAATTTTTTTCTGCATGGAAAGAGTTGGTTTTGGTGTCTTGGCTGGGCCATAACACATCAATGCCTCCTCTTTCAGCCTTCTGTGATTGGTCTGATATCATGGCAATACCAGCTTCCTTAGTGGAAAGTATAATGGATAAGCTTAGCCAAAACTTTTTTTTTCAGTTCTTCAGTCAAATATTGTTCTAATGGTTTAAATATTGTTCAAATGGTATGGTCAGGTATTGTTTTGTGCTTTTATGGTAGTCTTTTAAAACCAAACTTCTTTTTCACATTATGGTTCAGTAAGAAACTTTTTTAATTAACACAATTTTTTCTGAGAATATTTTGTTTTTTTTTAATTTCACTAATTTTTGTTGAGGCAATATCGTTTTTTTCCCTATAACTGAAAAATTTAATTTAATTTAACCTGATAGAAAACAGATTGACTTGAGTATCTTTTTACTTATGTAATTATTACATAAATATGTAAAAAGTACATAAAAATTTTTATTTAAAGAATAAAAGCACTTGATTATTATTAAGTTTACAAAACAATGAAACACTGAAGCTTTAAATTCAACTAAAATACAAATTTGTCCAAACTTACAAATAAAAATAACCTTGAACATTCCAAAGTGATTGACAAATAAAAATAACCTCAAATATTACATACCTGAATGACAAATAAAAATAACCTCAAATATTCCATACCTGAATGACAAATAAAAATAACCTTAAATATTACATACCTAAATGACAAATAAAGATAACCTCAAATATTCCATACCTGAATGACAAATAAAAATAACCTTAAATATTACATACCTAAATGACAAATAAAGATAACCTCAAATATTCCATACCTGAATGACAAATAAAAATAACCTCAAGTATTCCATACCTGGATGACAATTAAAAATAACCTCAAATATTACATACCTGAATGACAAATAAAAATAACCTCAAATATTCCATACCTGAATGACAAATAAAAATAACCTCAAGTATTCCATACCTGGATGACAATTAAAAATAACCTCAAATATTACATACCTGAATGACAAATAAAAATAACCTCAAATATTCCATACCTGAATGACAAATAAAAATAACCTTAAATATTACATACCTAAATGACAAATAAAGATAACCTCAAATATTCCATACCTGAATGACAAATAAAAATAACCTCAAGTATTCCATACCTGGATGACAATTAAAAATAACCTCAAACATACCTGAATGACAAATCATATAACAAAAAGTAAAATCTTATTTTAATTATCAGAAAATTTAGGAATTTAAAGTAAATTTACACCATCTACTTGAAATTAATTGTACAATAAATGAGTGGTCCTAATGTATGAGCAGTTCTAATATATGAGTGGTCCTAATGTGTTCTTTAACTACTCTATATATTTTATATTCATTTTAAATTTAATTATGTTGCAACTATTGTATTTTTCTTAACTAAACTTCAGAATAGGTAACTCTGAATCTACCATTAACCTTCTTGAGAACGATGATACAGAAAAGAAAGATTTCGAACTTGGTGAGATTTTTATAGCTTATTAGCCATATTCAGGTTTTTTAAAAACTTAAAAAAGAAGTAATATCTTTATATAATAAGTCTTGTTTTTTTATTACCAGCAATGGCTTGAAAATATTAACTTGAAAATAAAAAAATTTTAATTGAAAAATATTTATTAAATAAAAAATAGTTCTTATATAAAATGATATGATACCTAGTCTTTTAATTTATCTTTTAAAAACACTTAAATAGTTACTCTGATAACTTTCTAATTAATATCTTTTGAAGACACTAATCTAATAACTTTCTAACTAATATTTTTTGAAGACACTAATCTAATAACTTTCTAACTAATATTTTTTGAAGATACTAATCTAATAACTTTCTAACTAATATTTTTTGAAGATACTAATCTAATAACTTTTTCATTAATATCTTTTGAAAACGCTAATCTAATAACTTTCTAATTAATATCTTTTGAAAACGCTAATCTAATAACTTTCTAATTAATATCTTTTGAAGATACTAATCTAATAACTTTCTAATTAATATCTTTTGAAGACACTAATCTAATAACTTTCTAATTAATATCTTTTGAAGACACTAATCTAATAACTTTCTAACTAATATTTTTTGAAGATACTAATCTAATAACTTTTTCATTAATATCTTTTGAAAACGCTAATCTAATAACTTTCTAATTAATATCTTTTGAAGATACTAATCTAATAACTTTCTAATTAATATCTTTTGAAGATAATAATCTAATAACTTTCTAATTCTAATATTGAAACGAGATTAGTGTCTTTAAATGAAATTATTAAAAAAATTTAATAATGCCATTTTTATGACATTATTAAATTTATTAAATTTCTAATTCTAATATTGAAATTTTTAAAAACTAAAATTGAATATTTTTATCTTTATCTTGTTTAATAAAAATAAATTTTTAATTTTGATCATGTTTAATAAATAACATATTTTATTCAGATAGTATTGAAGAAAATGAAGAGTTGACAGACAAAGACACTGCTCTAAATGTAAAGTTTTTCTTTTTTAAAAAAACTTTTGTTTCTTAGAAGTAAAATATATATTTTTTGAATTAGACAAAATACAATCACAATTTATTAATTCCAAAATATGAACCAAGATTCTTTATGAAAAAAAAAAAACATACAATGCTACAGTATGATTGGATAAAAACAAGTTTAACATGATGCTACCTAAATTTGATTGGTTTATGCTACCTAGATATGATTGGTTTATGGTACCTAGATATGATTAGATAAAACATGATGTTACCTAGATTTGATTGGTTTATGCTACCTAGATATGATTGGTTTATGCTACCTAGATATAATTAGATAAAACATGATGCTACCTAGATATGATAGGATGATGCTACCTAGTAGTGATTGACCAAAATTCTGTTTCTGTATCGGTAGAAATATCAATTTGAACTGTTGTCGAAATTTTGGTTTTGTTACTTTTTATAAATTCATTAAAAACCGAAATTTCAGTTGAAAAAAATACCAAAAACCAAAAAATTTGTAAGATTTTAAGTTTTTATATAATTTAGAAAAACATTTATTTTTGACAATTTTCACAAAATATTTTGAGAATTTTCACAAAATACCGCAAAAAAAATCTTGTTTTGCAGAGAAAATCTGCCAGTTGTTATGGTTTCAGTAAAATATTTGCAGAAATGTTGGTTTCAGTTTTGGCACCGAACGAGAGTACCTGAAATTTCGGTTATTTTCAGCTTTTTTTCTGTTTCGTTCAATCACTATTACCTAGATATGATTAAAACTTATTCCTTTGTACCTCTTCTACATTGTTTTTAAGTTGACCACTTTAGTTAAATAATTTTAATTTACAAATAGTTGTAATAATCAAAGCATTTAAACATTTTCTTGTATCTTACCTGTTGTACACTTTATAAAAAATGATTTTAAACAACCTTATATCATGGAGGTGCTGTTTTTAAAAAAGCATTTGATCCAGATGTCATGATAACTTGCATGGAACTTTTTTATTGTTTGGCATTTGATAAAACTTGATCAAAAATATCAGAAACAATTAACAGAAAAAATAGGAGAACTTATTTGAGAAAAATGCATGCTTGGTGTATTTAATAAAGCTGAATCGAATTGTCTAATAAATTTTTTTCAATTGAATAAAGTTTCAGTCCAACCAAGTCATCAAAAATTTATTTTTACATGTTTAGGTGTTTTTGAAAAAACAATGCTTAATCAGACTGAAACCATATCTCAAATATACAGCTGATTTTATTAAACTTGTTGTCACATGGTGAAAAATTTTAAATGTAAAAAGTTGTTGTGTAAGTTGTATTTTCAATGATAATTGACTGTCATGAAAAATCCAAATGATAAACAATTAAAGTTCATTTTGTAAAACTACTACATGTACAGACTAGGCAGATCCACAGTTACTGCAAGATGTTTAAATTTACAAAATAGAATTGTGCTACAGTCTTTTTTTGGTCCACCACAAAAGGCTGGAAATAGTTTACTAATAACTTGGACAGTCAGGAAACCATCAAAGGCAAATAAGACTTTCTGGATGCTGGCAGCTTTCTGGATTCGGTGCATTTCTTTTGTTTGTATAAGTACTATTTTTAGACATTGGCAGGATACTACATCTTGGTTCCTGAAGGTTTATGCTGCTGCTGTAAGGATAATCTGTTTTTGATATTCATACAATTCTGCTGCAACCTCATGTAATAAAATATGTTTAATATGTTTTAACACCTTTGGGTAGCAGTTGAGAAA